CCCCAAAACCCCAAAACCCCATAATATCAATTATAGATTATTTCTGAGAAAACTTAAAGGAATTAATTTAATAATTTTATTAATTTGAAAATGCAAAAAGATATTTCTCTCAAAATAAGAGATTCCTATGCCAGATATAGATTAGAAAATCCTATAGCAAAGGGCGCATTTGGCTCTGTCTATAATGCCATTGATATTCTAGATCCAACCTTGAAATAAGTAGCCTTTAAATAGCAGGATCTTCATATTAAACTAAAAGGCTGTAAAGATGAGGATTTTTCAATCGAAGTATTGAGATTAATGAGAGAAATCGCTTCATTTCAACTGAGACATCCAAACATTGTTGAGATTCTAGACTCATATTTGACAATCGATGGAAAATTCATTATAATTAGTGAGCTGGCAGATTCAGATCTTACTAAATATATTCTAAAACGGAGAAATTCAGCTGATTAACTTAGCGTTTCTGAGATATCTGTGATCATGCTTTAGTTACTTGATGGACTTAACCATATTCACTACAAAGGATTTATACACCGAGATATTAATCCGTAGAATATTCTCGTTTTTAAAGATAACTAATTCAAAATAGGTGATTTTGGAATAGCTTCATATGGTGCACAAACATAATTGAGAGCAGGAAAGGAGCATTACATGGCTCCAGAGATCAAACTTGATTTTGAATATGATAAAAGTGTAGATATATGGTCTCTTGGTATATTACTCTATTATTTGTGTACAGGAGAAGAAAAAATACAAGAAAAAACAGTTAACTCAATTAGAGCATAGAAAAAATAAGTGCCTCTACCTCCAAATTATGAATAATTTCAGGAAATGTTTGATATGATGACAGCATATGATAGTGAATTTAGACCTTCAATACATTAGCTGAAAGAGTAATTCATTAAACTGATTGATGATTCATCAGATTATGTTAAGAAATAGAACACCCTATTGGCTTATAAAATAAAATCAATCAATGATCAACTTGAACATGAGATCGCCCAATAATCTTAATTCTTATAGCTTCATCTCAATAATGTTCAGCTTAGATACGATTATGCAATTTAAAAGGAACTCAATGATTTGAAAAGCAAAATAGACTAATATAAGAAAATAATACAATCTTTCATAGTAGAGCCTCATTTAATTTATGAAGAAAGAGAATAAATAGAAAGATTTTATGATGAAGAAAAAAAGACTGATAAACTTGAAAGTTCGATACAAAAATAAATAGTTCTTCATTAAAATAAGCAGTAAGAATTCAACAGATTAGTTTAAATTTACATTGAGGAATAGGATATTTAAAAATCATATCCAAGACTTTTTAGTTTGTAAGGAAAATGTATATTGCTTTATAAAGGAACTATTGACGGATTTAAAGCAAAGCATTTTCATTAAAAATGTGATAACAAAGGCCCTACTATTTCATTTATATTAAGCGAGCATGGTTAAGTATTTGGTGGCTACTCATCAGTGTCATGGACATCCCCAATTAGTCCAGCTAAATTTAAAGATAGCGATGCCTTTTTATTCTCATTAAGTAAAAACACTTTGCATGTTTAATACAAGAACTTTGACAATGCAGTTTGTCATAACAAAGATTAAATGATGATATTTGGAGTGAGGTAAACATTAATGTATAATGAATATAATGATATTTGTATCACTGATGATTGTAATAATTAGAATTCAAGTTTTTGTGATATAGGATGCACTTATTTGCCACCAAAAGGTTTATAATATAAAGAATAATTGACTAAAGATTATTTAGCTGGCACTTTTAACTTCAAAGTCATTGAAATTGAAGTTTATTAAGTATTAAAATGATGATTTAATTAATCTACTGAATATTTCAAAATTTGATTTTATTATGGAATCATGGGGTTTTGGGGTTTTGGGGTTTTGGGG